GATGATGATGATAACTTTTTCATTTCTTCCTCATCATCATCATCATCTTTCACTTCATCTTCATCTCCATCCTCATCCTTTATCATGGTGTTGGTAAAATGTGTTCACCACAATGAAAATTGATGATACCAGAAATAGTTGCCAACAAAAAAAAATTGCTCCTTAACTCACTTAACAATCAGTGTTGATGTTTACTTAATTTAATCAACCCAACAATTGATCAATTCATTTTTATCATCATCATCTTCCCATTGGGTTAATATTATTTTAAAGCTACACTATGAATCTTTATCATCATCATGGTGACATTATCATCATCATCTTTTTAGCCTAATCTGTAATTCCAGTTCAGATTCAACTAAATTCAGTTGTAATCGTGATTTGAATAACCATGATGATCATCATCATCATGATAAGATACAATTTACACTCTAGTAAACAAATTAACACGATTGACAATATGATAACATTGTTTTCTTATGTAAATTAATCACAATTCAACACTTTAATCAACTTAAATTAACTTTAACATTAGCAACAATTTAACCATCAATGATTACATAATGAAGATAAAATAATTTGATTATTTGTTACAATGAAAATAATGATTAGATTGATTTTCAATTTTAAATTAGCTTCAATGAGATGATGACAAAGTCAACTTGAAAGTTGAAACCACATCATTTCCGTTTCCGTTTGTTTAGACCAAAACATTTTAGTTGAAGGTTATTTTTTTTACTTTGCTTTGGATCATCATTATCTTCAATATAAATTATTCAATTTGATTTTTGTGTTAATTGTTAGGGATGAAATAAACCGAAAAGGAATGTTAATTTTACTTTGATTGTTAACAATTAATTTTTTGTTTCTCTTTCGGATTTTTGGATGAATTAAGAATTTTAATCGGATCACAATCTGAATGAATGAACTTTCCTGAACCTTAAGAGTCTCTGAATGAGAGGCTAATTAATTGAAGTCGAGGATGGATGAGATTAGGAAGAGAGAGAGAGAGAGAGATAATGATACCTGATGATTTTGGAAAAATTTTGTTCATCATCATCATCATCACGATCATCATCATGATCATCTCTTGTTTAATCATTGTCAACTCAACCATGAGAAACCGGAATTCCAATAACCATTGAGAATTGATGGAAACAACTAACATGATTATGAGAAAAGAGATAAACTCAACTTTCAGTTTCATCATGATTTTGCTTTTAATCATCACAATTTTCATCCAACTTTCATGATAATATCTAACTTTGTATAAGAATCAATAAGAGAGAGAGAGAGAGAGATGATGAAAAGTAGATCAGGAATCAAGGTTGATCGAATCAGAATTTGAACATTTTTCTTCATCTTTCCCCCTCTTACTCATCATTCATCTTTCATCATCATCCCTACGATTAAACATGGAAACGGAAATTCAATGATGATCATCATCGAAAAGGGAAAAGGTTTCAACAAATAGATCTGAAAGTAAATATAGTATTTTGATCTGATAATAAACTTTGAATATGAAAATGATATTATCATGATTATGTTGATTCTCAGAGTTACCATGAGATTTGGTTACTCTTGTCATCATGATCCAATTTTTTATCTCTATCTGGATATTCATCGGCATTCTCAGGGAGTCCACTGGTCAGTCAAAGTTTTTTTTCCTTCATTATGTTCCAGGATATTTCATGATACATTTCATGTAAGTTTATGATGATAAGTAAGAGACAAAATTGTTTCCTATGTTGTCATGTATCTTAGTTGAATGTAATAGTATGAATAACTTCATATGATGATGATGATGCAGGAGGAAAAGTTGATGTGTAAGAATAGCTAATGATGATAAGGACTATGCAGATGATGATATTCAGGATGATGAATATTTTATTTGATTGAACTGAATGTAAAAGGGTCAAACTGTTTGCATGATAATAGTAGATTGCATTTGCCATTTTCCACCCTCAATATGATGACCAGACTGAAGGAAATGTTTTCCATTTGGAATTGATGAAAAAATATCTTCAGTTGCTCCTGAGGGACAATGAATGACACACATTTAAATATGAATGATAACCTAAGAAATGATGATAAAGAAGATAAAAGTCTCAGGAGATAGTTTTTCAGTTTCTCTCTCTCTCTCTCTCTCTCTCTCTCTCTCTCTAAGATTATCCTACCCTGCAAGTCCAGGGTGGGAAAACTTTCACTCATGAATCTGAATCAATATCTTATCAAAAGCTTTTATTGAATTCTGATTGATTGGTTGAATCAAAGAGCAGATTCTTGACTGACTGAAATTCATTTATAGTTCATGATTAGAATTGGAATTTTTTTTCACCATGATAACATTGTCTCTCCCTCTCTCTCTTTCACCAGCAATTAGCTTGATCTTTATCATAATTGTTATCAAACTTTGAAAGTTAAATTCAATTTAATCAGTGTTTATGTTCACTGATTCATGATGAAATTCATGATTGAACAAATTACCCTGAATTTAAATCCAAGCTACACCACAGTTATCAATCAAATTTCAAGTATCCTGCCAACAGATAACCTTAATATTGACCTGACAACTACAATTAAATCAACTAATATTCAAAGTTTATAATCAGACTATTCATCAGCTGATTTTATCCTTTTTTTAATTTAATCAAGCTAACCAACTCTATATAATTATGTTTTTATCAATATTTTGGTTATATGAAATGTTATTATTATTATTGCTTTTAATTGTTCAACTTTTTTTGTTCTTACAATTTAATCAATTGTGGTTATTTACTGATTGATTGATTGATTGTAGTTGATTGATCATTGATTAAGTTTCATAATTTTAGACGCTGGTCTGATAATTGGTTCAGTCTGTTTCTGATTTGTGATCAGAACTTTTTTTCTTCATCCTAAAATGTATCATGAACACTCAGAACTTTTTTTCATCCTTCCAACTAATAGTAACAATAATGATATTACATGGACTGAATGACAGATTCAGAGAGAGAGAGAGAGAGAGAGAGAGAGAGTTAAATGTAATAATATGAGGATAGGAACTGATCTGAGCAAAAAACAAGAGTATCTGACATTTTCAGGGGGAGAAGTGGGTGGTGGAGAGATGGAAAATGAAACAACCTTGTACATGAAAGGAAATAAAAAAGAAAGAAAGAGAAACAGAGACAGATAAAGATAATGATGATGATGATTAGGAAGATAAGAAGGAGAAAAAAATCAAGATAAAGAAAAGAAGATGAAAAAAAGTAAGAAAAAGTTAGAGACCGGATACGGAAAAGGGCGGATGATGAAATGTCCTGAATGGAAGATAAAAACATAAGAAAGTGAAGTCAATGGATGATGATCAGATGAGAGAGAGAGAGAGAGAGAGAGAGAGATGATGATGAGAATCACAGTTAACCCATTAGATCGCAGTGTCCGGTGTGTTATTCTGTTTCCACCATGAACTGAATAAGAAGCCAGAAGATTCTGAAGATGAGGAAAAAAAGGTTCAATCTTAGCATGAGATCCATTAAGATAAAGGAAGATGAGGAAGATGAAACAAGAGAAAGTGTTTCTTCATTTAGCAAACCCAATGGACTCTATGGAAGGTCTAATATCCTTCATCTTCCATTTATCTTCTATCATCATTATCACTTTCTCTTTCATTGTCTCATCATCACTCATCATCATTATCATCGATCTCTAAACAATTGATTAATCTCAGGTTCATTTAATCCAATCCAAGTTATCCCTTAATCTTTATCCTTTGTTACAAGAAAACCTTTTCTTTACCTGTTAAACTTAATCCAATTTGATTAATTGAAACAAATACTTAACAATTAAAATGCTCATCAAGGTTTACAATTAAGGTAAACAATTAACACTCATCAATTGAATCTAAATCCAAATAATAGTAAAAAGTTTTCATTAGTTGTCAACTTTAGTTTACTGATGATTAGAAACTTTAATCATTAATTGTGATGATCATCAAACTTTTAATTGTTACATATGATTAATTATCTGTCAGTCTATCAATTAGTTTATCATGTTCACTAATTTTTATAATTAAAAAGCAATTAATTGCATAATGATAATTACGAATGATTAAAATCCTTGAGAATACAATTAGCTCAATTAGATTTGAACGTTTTTATTTTGTTAATTGTTGGTGATTTAAATTGATTGGTCTCAGTTCATTATGATTGAAATTGCAAACTCAAAGTAATTAATTGATTAGCTGATTAATTGTAAGACCGTGAGACAATTTTTATCACAATTAAATTAATCTAATTTTGATCAATCACATTGAGTTGATTATATCATGAGGTTTAATTAATTTAGTTTAATTTAATTTTCTTGATTGTTGATTGGCTTGTTTTTTACTTTGGGTAACAAAATTAATCAACAAACTTGACCAATAGTTTTATTGACCACTCAAACTTTGTTACTAATTAACTAGGATAATTAAATTGTGCTTTAATTATCCCCTTTAATTGAATATAACAATTACAATTAGATTATACAATAAGTATACAAATCAATCTTTAGATTAATTTAATTACTGGTCAATTTTTGGTCTCAAAAATAATCAATTGATTAGTTAATTGAATTACCAGTAATTGAACCAAAATTTACACTTAAACAATTAACTATTAACAGTTTCTTAATTCAACAATCAAATAATAACAACAAAAAAAGATAAAAACAATTAACTACTTCTTGATTGTTACCTGATAACCATCAAAACTAAATCAATATGATTAATCTGAATACAATTAACCGTTTTCACTGTTAATCAATGTTTCCTAATCATAGTAGCCAACAAGTAGCAATCAATCAAACCAATAACAATCAAGAGCAATTAGTTAACAATTAACCGTTTTGTCTTCACCTGAAAATTGAATTACAGTTAATTGATTATCGAAATGATTAAGATGAAGATATGATTACATGTTATCGAAGGGGAAAAAAAGTTGAATCTTAATTGTTTTCCTTGTTTTCTGGTTCATTTTCAGGTTCTTTTTGGGTTAAAATGAGACCAGAGAGATTAATTGTTGGACGTCAAGGATCAACGGTGATTATTGATTGTTTCGTTAATGATGATAACAATTTCAATCTGGATTCTGTTGATATAACTTGGCTTAAAGACTCAAAGCCTTTGCTATTTGGATCAAGGATTCAACTAGTAAAAGTCAATCGTCTTAAAATTGTATCACTTACAAGACAAGATAAAGGTGTCTATCAATGCCTTGCTTCATCATCATCATTATCATTATCATCCCCAACACCATCATCCTCATCCTCATCCTCATCCTCATCCTCATCCTCATCCTCATCCTCATCATCATCATCATCATCATTATCTCCAGCTAATCCCTTAACAGCATCCGATTACGTTGAGATAATAATTCATGGTAAGTAATACAAATTTCCTAATCTGTTGATCTAATACAAAACATTTTCACTAACTGACTAACAATTAACATCAAATTGTGTACAACTTTTAGAGTGACTAATTGATTCTTAATGATTTATTGAAATTGTTTAATTCATTACAATTTAATTTGGAAAAGTTTATCTATCCTCTTGTGTCTTCTTCTTTCAATTCAACTAACTGATTATTCATCAATGTTTCAACCTCTCTCAGGGGATAATTTTCAATTGGAACTTTCTTCTTGCAGAAAAACCTTCACTAGTATTATGAATTCTCAATTTATTAATATCGAATTTAGTAAAAGTTTTATCATCATGTGTTCAATAATTTCCTTGGAATCGCCTTTTTCAAGATATCAAATTTATCCACCCCACCTCGATTTATCCCACTATCACTTTAACATCGTCTTCTGGTTAAGATATTCAGTAAATCCCAAAAGATTATAAATCTTATCCAGATAAACATTTGAACAGAGAAAAAAAAATATTCAACTTTATTTCTCTCTCTCTCTCCCTTTGCTCATCCTCTTCCAATACCCACCATCCCCATGGTGGGAAGATAAGTCTATGTGTTTGTGTATTTGACTAAATCAAAGGAAGTGAAAAAAGTATAAAGGAAACAAACCTAATCCTATTCATCATCTTTTCATCATCTTACTGATTTTCCACTGATTTATCTACCGTTATCTTCATGATAACTTTTCACCCTCTTCCAGAACTTTTTTTCCTTTCTCTCCATCGATTGTTGATTTTTTTCCCTCTCTCATCATCATGTGTAAAAAGCTAAATCAAAGCAACTTAAGTGCGATGTTTTTTTTATCTCTTTGTTGATCAAGTGTTGATTATCACATGATAAAAAAAATAACGTTAATCTCTATTGTCCAAACATTGGAGAGGGAAAAGGATTATGATGGTCAAGTGAATGGTCAAGCTGAATTGTTCCCTGAAACTGAACAATACATTGACTCTTGAAATTTACTCCAAATGGCTTCAGGCCAATTGACTAGGATTAAGTAACAATAACTAATGTTTACTTAGGGTTTTTCCAGCTTCATATCATGGATGAAGTTCATGAGCAAAAAGATAATAATGATCAAGTCAAATTTACTCAGAACTTTTCCTTTGAATTCATTAACATTGAAAAATATTAGCAATTCAATTGAGATTATTCAAAGTTATTCACTCAACTCTCATCATCATGAATATTATTCATTCATTATTATTGGAAATTTCAAATTGAAATATTTCATGGGAAATGAATCATTTTGAGTGAAAAATATTCAACAATTAACAATGATGAATGAAAATTTAATATCCTCAGGCAAATTCTTGGAAAACCACAGATCAATATTGAATTAGAATTCCTTATACATGATTGAAACTCAAATTTATGAGAAAAAAATGATCATGAAAAATTCATTTCTTAAGATTAAATAATTGATACAAATGAAACTTTCAGAATCATGGTTACCCATCTTAAGGAAATATAATGAGAATCATCATGATTTCATGATCCACATTCTGATTATTATAAATTCCAACAACAATTTGATGACCTGATGAAGAAATTCATTCAACTCAAATTTTCATCTTCTTTAATCTTGATAATTATCAGGAAGATAAAGATAATCTTTCATCTCAATCTTCAATCTTCCTTCTTCCTGTTGAAATGTAACTCCCACTTTTCATCATTTCCACTTCCCTTTTTCAACGATAAAACTCATCATCACATTACAAATGATCATAATCATTATCATCCTTGATTATTATCTAAAAATTATCCTAATTTAATATTAACAATTCACTTAGACAAAAAATGTTCCAACCCTTTTGTTGAGAAAAAAACCCAAATGAATTATCAAGATTTTCGGAACGATAAGCTCCACCCACTTTCACTTTTAAATTCGAAAAGTTCTAAAGTTGTAACAAACTCGACAAAAAAGTTGGAATCTTTTCATTTTCTCACTTATAAAACATAAGAAACAAATTGTTACCATTTAATATTTAAGACAAATTTAATCACTTTTAATGTTACTCATTTCCATGATGATTATCATTAGTTTCATGATGGAAATGATCATAATATTTATTTCTCTTGAAAACAATAGAAATTAATCTCAGCTGATGATAATGATGATGATGATGATTCTCATTGTCCTTTGGAACTTTAAAATATCCTGGAAAAAGAAACTTTAATCACCAAGGAAATTAGTTCTCACTTGAATTAGATTTTCTCAAAGTTCCAAGAAATTTCAAATGTTAATAATTTCCACTTTCACCTTATCCTTATTTTTCATGGTGCTTTTGTTTTTCCACCAAAAGATCATCATCTTGTTCCTCTCTCATTCTCGATTGTTATCATTTCCTTTTCCCCTTTCTCATAACTTATTCACTCATCTTCCACCTTCATCTTAGTCATTATCCTTCAACTGAAAAAAGAACTTTTTTTTTCTCTTTGTCATCAACATTTTCTACCTGAATTAAAATTCTCTCTCTAACAATTTTCATCATCATTTATTTTTCTATTCTGATGTTTTATTCACATTCGAAAAAAGTTTTTCCTTCCAAGTCCAAATTAGAACTTTTTATTTTGCTAACGTTTTCGAAATTCATTTAGAGAAATATTTTACTTTCGAAACTATTTCCTGGTGAACGGTTCGAATTCGAGAATAATTTTCATGATCATCTTTAATTATGCAGAATATTTGTTCATCGAGATTTCGAACTCAAGAGAAAGAGAAAAAGAGAGAGAGATGAAAATTGTTCTAAATTCGAACTGGATGAAATTCCATGACTTTTTGTTTATTCTTTTTGTTTTGTTTATTCCAATGAAAGAAAAAGAATGAGAAACCAATGAACTTTTAAGATAAGTTCTGAATCATGTTTATCGATAAAATCGGAAGATAAAATATAAAGAAAGAAAAATAAAGAGAGAGAAATAAAAAAATGAATTCGAATATTTTTCTTACTCATTTTTCAATGAATTTCATCTTTTCTCTGTTCATTCATCTTTCACAATTCACTTTATCTTCCTCTTTCTTGTCTTCCTTTTCTGTTTATTTGTTTCCTCTTTCTTTTCTCCTTTCTTATCTTCCAAAAATGATGAATTATCTTCCATCTTCATCTGACTAACATTTCCCATCATTCACAAGATTTCATATCTTTTTCCTTAAACTTCCTTCACCCACCATGATCATCATCATCATCATAATCATTTTTATCGTCATCATCATCATCATCATCATTTTCCTTATTTATTTAACTTGACTTTATGATCATTGTCAAATTTATCATCCGATTCTCATTCATTTGAATTCAAAGTTTAACTTTAAAGCTCAAAGCATGATGGTTTCCATGATGGTGATAATAATGAACTGTGAGAGCTCATATTTCGAGGTTCCAATAAGAAAGTGTAACACAATTGTAATTATTAAATTGGAATCTGAATTTATCATGATTACTATTGATTAACAGGGAAAAGAGAGAGAGAAATGAAGATGAAGTCATGAAAAAAGAAGAAAATTTTTTTCTTCTTTGCTACTTCCTTGTACTCTCTTCCAATGGAATGAATAAATTATTGAACTATTCAAGTAGATAGAATGTATCTAACCAATCATATGAAGTTCATCTTCCTCCCTGAAGATGCCTTTTCATCATCATCATCATGTAAACACTCTTGAAACTTTCATCATCCTCCAAGAAAAAGGTCTTGATTCACATTCTAAACACATCTACCACCTTATATACTCTTTCCAAACTCCCTGAGGGTTAAAAAAAAGAATCTCAGAGAGAAAAAGATAGATAAAGAATCTTAAATCAGAATTTTATCAATGATGTAAGGATAAGACGATATGATGTTTAACTTGATGATAAAATGGGGGAAGATAAACAACAAGAAGATGAAAGATAAGGTGGATGAGGAAGATAAATGATGAAAATTGTTTTCTTCAACAATGAATAAGAGAAACTGATACTTGGAGAGTTTTTTTTTCAATTTCTTTTCTTCAAAAGAGTCTGAACACTTTTCGAGATTCTGATCAGGGTGGAAATTCAATTGATGTATTGAGAAATTTTGGAATATGAAAAGGTCATGACCTTGAGTCTAATCTGTTGAATTTCATCCAATCTTATAGTAAATCGAACAGTTCAAATGAGAGCAATTAGTTAACTTTCAGTTTGCCTGTTGAACGAATTTAAATGTTACACTTTCAATCGAAACAATTTGGTTACTAATTTGATTTGGTGATCAAGTAAATTGTCACGTTGATAAACAATTGCGAGAGATAATTTAAATTATCTCTCGCAATTGTACTAACACTTTACAATTGTAAAGTGTTAGTACAACAATTTAGTAATTGTCGGTCAATTGGATTGGTGGAAGACAAAAAAACTCCAAGTAATCATTTCCAAGGAATCAATTGCTATTAATACTCTGAGAAACGATACTCAGGGAAGATGAAGATAATGATGATGGCGAAGATGATGATGATAGTGGGTGGAAGAAGATGAAAATGTTTCGAAGCAATTTACTGTTTTCTATTCTTCATCTTCCTCACCTCAACAAGAAAAAGTTCTAAAGACGAATAATTGGTTGAATTTTCTTCTTTTTCTTCTTTTTCTTTACTTTTACTTCATCCCTTTCATCCACCTCCCACTCCTCATCTTCATCTTCATCTTCATCTTCATCTTCATCCCAAAAACATAAATCAACTCTAAGTTAACCTTTTGTGATAAATGCCTCAGGGAGTTAATCAAGATTCAGATTCCGAAAACGATATAATCGGTAACCGTTGAAAACGTTAACAGTCAACCCAAAGTGTAATTGTAAACCAATTGTTATTACAATCTAATTGTTGCTCTTGAAATCAATCAATCAAACCATCTTATTAACCGTTAACACTTAATGATGAAGAATATATTTTTTTTGTTGATAAAACAATTAGCATTACAAATGGACTTGATTTTTTCTAATTGTTGTTCA